GAGAGGGGGGGGAGTGAAAGAGAGAGAGAGTTAAGAGGAAAGAGAGAAAATTTATGTTTACTTATTTTACGAAAGCGGATGGGGAGGGAAGGGTGGCTCAAATAGAGCTCAACTGGCTTTCTTACAGCTACCGAATTCCCAATGTCCCTGTTCACAAAAATTATCATATATCTTTGCATTCAGTTTCAGAATCAAGGCAAATTAGCATTGATGTAAAGAGATTAAAAATGAATGTATTGGGTTAGAAAATCTGTTTGAGATTCATGTCATCTGGATACTCTATTTATGAATTTGCTTTCCGGAAAGCTTAATAAACTCTAATGCGTTTTTTATTATATTTTCCATTGTTGGTTTGTCCTAAATAATTCGATTGCTTTATTCATGGGCGAAGTTGATTAAGCCCATGCGAAGCACTCGACTGGCAGTTTGCTCTCTGCATACCAATAGTATGATGCTTAGATACACACCCAACTCGTGCTAAAATCGAAAGTCGAAAAGTAATAATTTTCTACGAAAAAATGAAAGAAGTCAAAAGCTGGTGAGATCTTGCTGCGCAGTTTGCCACACGGTTCGACTTACGCATCTATATTATCGTATCTTGCACGCACCCTTATATTTCCTAACGAGTTCCCTGTTCGCCTTGTTATTCTCTCGTCTGGTTGACGCCAAAGTTGAGAATCCCTTGACTTTCTCTAGCTGCCGCCAGCATCCTTTTTGCCAGGGACTTAATGCATTTTATTTAAATCAAGCAGATTTCTATTCTTACCCTCACCCCTCCCTTCAAACACGAATGCCCTTCAAGAAAATAGCCGTGTGGGCAGATTGATATAATTCAGAATGCGTCTTTCTTCTTCTGGAAGAGACGAGATCTGGATTTGTAAAATGTCTGCTGTTCCAGAATTAGGTGGGGCAACTGCCCCGTGAAGGGGCTCCGGGTTCCATTCAAACGACAATGCGCCTCACGAGTGAGACTTGCCTCTGTTCTAGAAATATAAACTTAATTATCCCTGGTGTCTGAGTCTGTGCGTTTTTGATTCTCTGTATCTCCTTCTGTCTGTCTCTCTAATTGCCTCTCTTTCTATTTCTTTGATTCTCTCTCTTTCTCTCTCTCTCTCTCACTCACGCTCTCTCCTTCTCTTCCTCTCTCTCTCTCTCACTCCCTCTCTCTCTCTGTCTCTGTCTCTGTCTCTGTCTCTGTCTCTCTCTGTCTCTGTCTCTCTCTCTCTCTCTCTCTC